ACTGTTGGTAAAATGCTGTCAAACAGCATCACCTGCTACAGAGAAATCTTTCATGAAGAGTCAATCAACGTGGCAAATGTAATTTTCTTTTTCAAGAAATTACCATGGTTACCCCAACCTTCAGCAACCACCACCCAAATCAGTCAGAAGCCACCAACATCAAGGCAAAACCTTCCACCATCAAAAAGATTATGACTTGCTGAAAGCTCCGAGGATTGTCACTTTTTTTAGCAGTATTTTTAAATTAAGGTATATATGTTGTTATTTAGACATAATGCTATTGTGCACTTATTAGACTACAGTATAAAAATAATTTTATATACACTGGGAAAACAAAACAAAACAAAAAAAAAACGTGACTTTTGATATTAGCTTAGTTTTGGTGGTCTGGGACCCAGCCCATAGTATCTCTGAGATATGCACATATTTTCAATCTTCTTTTTTTGACATATACTAAATATGTATAGTTACAAATCTCCTGTGATGACTGCCATCAATTCTTTCTCTCCATATAAGAATGTGCCACTTCCCCAGTGAGATATGGGTTCCTTTTCCCCTCCTGTGGAAACTGGGCTGGACCTGTGCTTGCTTTGACCAGTAGAATGCAAAGTGACATTCTGGGACTTCTGAGAAGACCAGGCCTTAAGAGGACTGACAGTTTCCACTTCCTTCATCTCTTGGAATGCTCCCAGTTGGAATTCAATCACCATGCTGTGGGGAGCCAAGCTCTTTGGAAAAGTCACGTGAAGGAAAATCAGATAAACTGTCACCATCTGGATGAACTGTCTTGCATATCACAGCCTTTATAGATAGTTGAATGCCCCTGCCAACATCATGTGGAGCAGAGCCACCGACCTGAGTCAGCAAAGCTCCATCTATGCAAAGATGGAGGAGTTAACAAAATGGTTGGTTTAAGCCACTAAGTTCTGAGGTTGGTTGTTGTGGAGCAAAAGATAACTGAAATAGAAACTGGTCCCTAGAAACAGGGTGGCATTGGGTCAAACCCAAAACTTATGTAGCCTCAACTTGGAACTGAACAGGAGATGCAGACGATGGTGGCTAGAAGATCAATGAGAAAACAGAAAGGCAACACTTAACATTTGCAATAATCTGAAAGGTAGAACTAATAAGCTCATGGCAATTACTAAAGGGAAAATGTAACCTAATAAATATGTGAATCTATCTAAGGAGACTTCCAGGCAAACATTGAAGATGCCACCTGACTACTTCTAGCTACTTATCGTCAAATACGAGAAGAACTAAATAAGAAACTTCAGTTTGGGAGCAAAATTTGTAGAAAACATAAAATGTGCAAAGAAAATATTTTTCCAGCCAGCAAGAGGTTCTCAAGGAAGAAATCACCTTGGCAAAGATCAAATTGAGAACTGTTCGTAGGCCGGGCGCGGTGGTTCAAGCCTGTAATCCCAGCACTTTGGGAGGCTGAGGCAGGTGGATCACAAGGCCAGGAGATCGAGACCATCCTGGTCAACATGGTGAAACCCTGTCTCTACTAAAAATAAAAAAATTAGCTGGGCATGGTGGCGTGTGCCTGTAATCCCAGCTACTCAGGAGGCTGAGGCAGGAGAATTGCTTGAACCCAGGAGGCGGAGGTTACGGTGAGCCGAGATCGCGCCATTGTACTCCAGCCTGGGTAACAAGAGTGAAACTCCGTCTGAAAAAAAAAAAGAGAACTGTTTGTAAAGCACAGAATTAGGATAATTTAGAATCAATGGTGCATCGGCAATATTCTTTAAGGTTTCAGAAATGTTTAAACCAGTGCCTCATAAAACTATTAGAAAGACAAAAAGACTTCTAAGAATCTTATGAGCACATTTTGTAGATCACTGTGCTCTATAGTGAGTATCTAAGATAGTTAAGGGTGCTGTTCCTCAACATCCTCTCAGTTCAAATTAGAGAGAGGTCTGTCTTGAAGAGACCAGTATGGATTTTGTCTAATGGAGTGGATTATAATTCAATTCAAAGGGAACACACGAGGTTTTAAAATGAATTACATCAGCTTACACTAAAAAAGATATACACAGTTCAAGCTGAAGAGAATTCTGGGCCTGCAACCTCCGAAAATCAAGAAGCAGTTTGAAAAGGCTACTCAGCTTCAAACACAAAGCAATTTCTCATGGAAAAAGATGGCTCAGAGTAAAATAAAGATAATACAGGGAAGAGCCAAGATCTAAGAACCACTCTCAAGTAGAATTAGGCCCTAATCGACATACACTCTCTGCTCCCAGAACCACAGGTAATAAAACGTGCCCAATTGGAGTTCAGAATTGCTATGAACCATTCACTGCTACGTACCTCTCATTTTTTCCACTCTTTTAAACAAGAGTGTATATTGCCTAACTCACCACTGTAGCTGGGTGAATATGAGAAAGAAAACTTACCTTTAGTTTCACACATCTCCCGACTGAGAGAAACTGTAGTAAAGGCACCGCATATGTAACTGAAACTGGTTTAGATGATGTAGTTCTGTTCTGGGTCTTGGGCTTGAAACTGATGTCATATTGACATGAGACTTTAAGGTTTCCTGGGAGGTGGTGGAAAAATTTTCCATGGGAACATAAATTGCTATGGCCAGGGTGTACATTATAACTACCAAAGATTTCTGCCGTCAGTTTCTTTCTTGTTTGTATATGCGTGTCCCCTTTCCATCAAAAAGGGCTTTTTTCCTTCTTTAAGCTAAGTTGGCCCTGTAGATTACTTTGACCAATACGATGCCGTGAAAATAATGTTCTGGGACTTCCAAACTATGGCCCCAAGAGGACTTAGCTTCCATTTTCCTCTTCTTGAGACGCTTACACTTGGGATGCTCCTTCTTGGATCCCAGCCATAAACGATTACAAGCCCAGCCACCACGGCTGGGAGATTCCATGTCCCATGGAGAAGCCACATAAACTGAGGTGTGGCAGCTGAATTCCCAGCTGATAGCCACCATTAACTGCCAATCATGTGCATGAGTATCTCGGATGCCTCAAGCCCAATCAAGCCCCTAGATAATGGCAGCGAAAGTCATCATCATGTGGAACAAAACCACCCAGCAGATTCCTGTCAACTCACAGAATTATGAGGCCAGTGAAATGGTTATTTTAAGCCAATTAAGTTTGAGGTAGTTTGTTAGTAACAGACAACCCCCTACAATTTATGTTAGCATCATTTTGAAACAGCTTGTATAAAGTGTTGGAATTTACTCCCCTTGAAAAAGGGGTAAAACTTACCTGTAAACCTGTGCCAGGTCTTGTCAAGAAGTTAATTATTGTTTACTATTCAACCTATGAATAAGTATATTCAGCTTTTCTATTTCTTGAGTCAATTTAAGTAAATTGCAGTTTTCTAGAGTTTGGTCTATTTTGTCTAAGTTTTCAAATACATTAGCATTAAGATGCTCCTGGTAGTCACTTTTTCATTCTTGCTTTATCTATGGATTAGGACACCTTTTTCAGTCTTTATGTTTCATCTTGTTCAATTATGCCAGTTTTACCATTTTTATCATGAAAACAACTTTGACATGATTCTTTATCATTTTCAAATTCACTGATTTATTCCCTTACCTGTATCTTCTTGCTCCTACATTGCTTTTGCTATTGTTTTTCTAAGTTACACATTTAGTCTTTTCCCTTAATTCAAGCATTTAAAGCCATTTTCCTCATAGTGCCGTTTCCCCTGCAATACCCAATTAAGGAATATATATATTACTTGTAATTAGGTTTTAAGTATTTCCTTTTCTCTTCTGTGAAGATTTCAACATGTAAGATTTTTAAAAAATTAACCTTTGTTACTGACCTCTACTTGTTTCTGATTATACATTTAATACCAATTATTTGATATGTTTTGTGACTTGCTTCATGCTGAAAATACATGGTCAATTTTTGCTAATACACAATGTTTAAGAAAAATATTCATTAATTGTTGAATGTTATTCTAAATGTTTATTGAATCAGTATTACATTAAAATGCTTTCACTAATTCTTTGTCAATTATTAGTTGAAATCTCCCACTGTTGTTCAATTTGTTGCTTCAGCCCTATTGTTGCTTCAGTTCATACATTTTGAGGCCATTTCATATGGTAGATACACACTAAAAATTGTTATATATACCTAGTAAATTGATCCTTTTACTATTTTTAATGGCCTTCTCGATCTTTAATATCATAAATCTATTTTTATTTAGTATCACTAAAGTTACATGAGTTTTTAGTATTACCTACTGCATTAAAAAATTTTTTTTAACTTTCAACCTCCCCATATATAGTATTTTAGGTGTTTTCATTTTAAACAGCCTAGTTGGATTAAAAAAAAAAATCTGACCAATGCTATCATTTAGTTGGGTAATTGTGTATTCATATTTATTTTAATTAGTATTAGATTTGTTACTAGTATCTAACTTTGTAACTTCACCCCCTCACCTCCATAATTTCTTCCTTTATTGGTACTAGATTATTGCATACCTATTCCATATTTTAAATTTCTTTTCCTTTGGAATGATTCATCCCCCCCACCTTCCTTTTTTTTTTTTTTTGAGATGGAGTCTGACTCCATGACCCAGGCTGGAGTGCAGTAGCGCAATCTCAGCTCACTGCAACCTTTGCCTCCCAGGTTCAAGTGGTTCTCCCACCTCAGCCTCCAGAGTATCCGGGATTACAGGAGCATGCCATCATGCCCGAATAATTTTTGTTATTTTTTGGTAGAACAGGGTTTCACCATGTTGGCCAGCCTGGTCTCAAACTCCTGACCTCAAGTGATCTGCCTGCCTCAGCCTCCCAAAGTGCTGATTATAGGAGTGAGTCACTGTGCCTGGCCAATCCCCTCCTATTCTTGTGGCAGTTACCCTTGAACTTTGACTATACATATTTATTATAACTAATCAATTTTGAGGTTAAACAGCATCTTAACCAGTTTTCTGAATAAAAGAACTCAGAACACTCTAATTCCAATCACACCCTTCTGCCAGCCAGCAGCTACTGTCCAGTTATATCCTTATTTAAAAATTTGACATTACTAATGTTGCGTAACAATGTTTATTTAGTTTTACAAATGTTTACAATTTCTTATAATTTTCATTATAATTGTTTTATACAAACAACAGTTTAAATTTCCTTATTACTTATTTGCTCACTAGTTCTTCAATTTCAGATGACCCTTTAGAATCATTTTCCTTTTTGAAGATCATCCTTTTGCAGTCTTTTTGCTGAAGTTCTGCTGAAGACAGTATGTTTTTCATTTCAGCGTGCGTTTGTTTCAGTTTTTGCTTGTAGCAACTTCTAAGCTAATAGTTTCTCTCAGAATTCTACCCTCTTTTGGGTACTGTTGCTGTTAGGAAGCTTACCAAGCATTTGACTGTCTTCCGTTCATTGATGATCGTTTTCTCCCCATGGTTGCTTTTACAATCTGGTGTTTGGCATCTTGTCATTTACTACCTTGAGTCTAGGTCTGGATTTTATAAATTAGATATTTGGCATATACTGTGCTTCCTGAATTTATGAATTCATGTTTTTCCAACAAATTTGGAAAATTGTGTTGTCTCTTCAAGTATTGCCTCTCCTTCATTCTCTAAATTCTCTCCTTCTAGTATTCCTAGTCTTTATAATTCTTCCCTCCAACTCTCTTAATTTTCTAATGTTTTCTATCTCCTTGTTGCTCACTGGGTAATTTCTTTAGATCCAGCTTATGGTTCACGTGTCTCTCCAGCCGAGTCTAATATAATATTCAATATGTCTGAAGGCTTTTTTCTTATTTCAATAAATATTTCTCATTTCAAGTTCTATTTGGTTCTTTTTCAGATCTGCCTATGGTTCCAACTTCATTTCTTATCTTGGTGATGAAACCTTGAAGAAGTGAGTTCGATGTTTATTTTTTCTATAGCTCCCTTGTCATGTTAGCTTGTTTCAACTTGTGCGTCTGATCTCTGGTCATAAAATACCACTACTTGATAATAATCTATAGGAGTCTTGGAACTAAATTAGGAATGTTTCTCTCTTGCTTCTGCGAGGAGCTAGAGCACTACAAACTGAGGGCCACTCAATCTTCTTTAACTGTCCTGTCTAGGGCGGCAACTCAGGTTCACATCTCTTCTTGTTTCTGATTTGAGACAAACTGTATACGGCAGTGTTGCCACTGGTATCTGCCATCCAGACAATCACAGTTCACTTGTATGGGTAATATAGTATTCATGACTCCTGCCTTAAAATGTTTTGTCTGTGGCAGAGGAAAGGTAGAAGTATGGTTCTTGAAAGTTCTTCTACTGCCTGTGAACCTATTCAAAAGTAGAATTTATTCAGGATCTAGTTGTTTTATAACAGCTAGTCTAACATACTTGTTGGAAGCAAAAATCTTATTTTATATATTAAATATATTTTAAAAATTATGATACAGTAACCTGAGAAAGCACATATTTTACGTCATTTCTTATTAACAGAATCTCTCTGGAAAGGTTCTCTACCCCTTGATCAGAACAAAACTCACAGTATATGGGAACTGAGTGAACATTAGGAAGGTCCTGGAGGATGAACCTATCCTAAGGTGGTTGTCTCATCACTCGGTAGAAATTTCTCCTGGTGCCCTATCATTATTAGACGTTGCATCAACATTGACTGTTGAAATTATGATTTTTTTGTTTTTAAAATTTACTTATTTATTTTAGCAACAGGGTCTCATTTTGTCACCCACGCTGGAGTACAGTGATGCAATCATAGCTTGCTGCAGCCTCAAACTCAAGTGATCCTCCTGATTTAGCCTCTGAGTAGCTGGGACTAGAGGTACAGGCCACCATGTCCAGGTATTTTTTTTTTGGTAGAAACGGAACGTCATTATATCAACCAGGCTGGTCTCCAACTCCCTCCTAGTCCCAGGTGATCCTCCTGCCTCAGCCTCCCAAAGTGTTGGGACTGTAGGTGTGAACCACCATGTCTGGCCTCTGTTCAAGTTTTAATGTCCTGATTAATATGTGATTCAGATTAGTAAGACTAAAAATCTATGATCATATCCCATCATTTTTAAACTTTTAAAAAATAGATAATAATGATTTGTTACATGCAGCTTCCATCTAGAAGCATAACTTTATTTTTGGAAACGTGGGCCACCTACAATTTAAAGCAGGCTGAACAAGGCAGCTTGTGATTTCATTTTAGTCAGAAACACACCCAACAGGCATCATGGCAGCAGATCTGGCTGCTACCATTTTAAATATAGGTAGACTGTCAGCATCTTTATTGTTCATAATTGTCTGTCAGTGTTCTCTGGATGATCAAGAAAATCTTTGTGCCTCACCCTAATCACTGAAGTAATGAAAGGAGATACCGGCAGCAAGGACAGCAACTGTAAATGCTGCAATCACACCTAAAAGTAAAACAAACACAGAACAAATGAATATGAAATGAGCAAAAGAAAGGCTGAACTAATCATAGGCTCTGAAATGTGGGTAACTGATGGGCCTCAAAAGCAATACACAAACACAGTATCATACGTACACATACATACGTATGTACTAAAAGGCAGCAACATCTTAGAGAAAACTATAGCAGTAAGTTGAAAAATTAGATTTCGAATGTTGGGCAGAGTATCTCTCTTGCACACATGTGCACTGAGATGTACCTAAGAAAAAAATAACAAACACTTTAAAGGGCTTATATAATTATTTATATTGGCATACCAGCTGTCTTATGCTACTTAGGTTAAAAAAAAAAAAGGCAGCGCTAGTAGGCGGTAGTTCTCGGTCATTATAATGTAAAGCCACTGTGTAGCTATTGAAAAACTACAGAAGTCCATGTTTGACCATTATAAAATCTAAGAATTAGTACAACTTAGTTGTAACTTTTATTCTTTCCTGATTATAGTAAGCTAAAGAAAGAAACTGGCCATAGTAGTCTAGACAGACAGATACAGACAGACACACACATACACACACACACACATACACAAAAAATTTAATCAAATTTAATGAATGATAAGAACTACAATTAAATCTCTTGGTTCCTAATTCAGAGGTCTTAATATTTAGTATACTTCAAACTGTTATTCTGCTAAACAACAGTCTGTGTTCAAAAACTCTGAAAAATGCTACAGTAATTCTGCATTTCTTAGAGCCCTTAAAATATAAAATTACATTATAAAATTCTTGACTTGAATTTGACATTTTTTGTCACAGAACACACATCAAAAACTCCTGTGATAGTAATTCGAGGAATACCAGTTTATAAAGCATTAGTCCTACCATACTAACTGATTCCCAAAACCCTGCATCTTTTTCTTTTAAAAACATTTTAAAAATTAATAAGATGTGTTATATTTGAGGGCACTTGGATGACAATGTATGAATTATTAAATCTTCCTGTCTCTAGGCCCTGGCACTTTCCATCCATAATATCCAGTAAATACTGGCTCAGTCTAGCACTCTTAAGAAAGCAAAATGAAATACAAATAATTTTAAAGTAACAGGAAAACTTAAGTCCAAATACGTTTTCAGTGTTATAAAAGAAATAAAATTAAATACCTATGTTTTGCTGAATTTTCAATACTATTGTAGTTTTAATTGGCTGTTTTGGTGGTTCATCATCTGTGGTGTCCCGTGAAGCTTGACTATTCACAGAGGAACTCACACAAACTGAAAGAGTATAATAATAATAAAGTCTACATTAAATAAGGATTAACACTTTAAACTGAGTTTTAGAGAACATTATAAAAAACAATGAACACCATTTTCATTCTACTTGTTTTTTATATAGCATAATGAATTTGTTCATTATCAACTGTAGGTGAATTAAATTTAATAGAATATATGTCAAATTGAGAGTTTTCAAAACATTTAATGTGGCTTTATCATTGAACTAAACCAGACGGCCACACAGCCAGTTCTGAGTAACTTTCAAAAATCATAATTTGCTGGCCAGGCACGGTGGCTCGCACCTGTAATCCCAGCACTTTGGGAGGTGGGCGGATTGCCTGAGCTCAGGAGTTCAAGATCAGCCTGGGAAACACAGTGAAACCCCATCTCTACTAAAATACAAAAAAATTAGCCAGACATGGTGGCATAGATCCAGTTACTCAGGAGGCTGAGGCAGGAAAACTGCTTGAACCTGGAAGGCGGAGGCCGTAGTGAGCTGTGGTAGTGTCATTGTAATCCAGCCTGGGGTGACACAGTGAGACTCCATATTAAAAAAAGAAAAAAAACTATAATTTGTTTACTATATGGTTGTAAATGTATGCCAAAATTCATAGCAGAGTAAACTTCACTGTTACTTGAGATTAATTTATATCATTCTTTTTGTTGTTGCTGAGACAGAGTCCAGGCTCTGTCACCCAGACTGGAGTGCAGTGACACAATCTCGGCTTACTGCAATCTCCGCCTCCCAGGTTCAAGCGATTCTCCTGCCTCAACCCCTGGAGTAGCTGGGATTATAGGCACCCACCACCATGCCTGGCTAATTTTTGTATTTTCATTTAATTAATTTATTTTTTTGAGACAGAGTCTCATTCTGCTGCCCAGGCTGGAGTGCAATGGCATGATCTTAGCTCACTGCAACCTCCACCTCCCAGGTTCAAGTGATTCTCCTGCCTCAGCCTCCTGAGTAGCTGGGACTACAGACATGTGATAACTTCTGTATTTTTAGTAGAGATGGGGTTTCACCACGTTGGTCAGGCTGGTCCTAAACTCCTCAGGTGATCCACCCACCTTGGCCTCCCAAAGTGCAGGATTACAGGCGTGAGGCACTAAACCTGGCCTAATTTTTGGATTTTTAGTAGAGATGGGATTTCACCATGTTGGCCAGGCTGGTTTAGAGCCCCGGACTTCAAGTGATCCACCCACCTCAGCCTCCCAAAGTCCTGGGATGACAGGCCTGAGCCACTGTGCCTGGCCTAATTTATATCATTCTTATTAGTGGTTTTAGTGATTAATAATTCCAAATAATTAGGTATTAATAAAATCAGGGACCACCACATTGTAGGACATGGGCCAAATCTGGCTCAAGACCTATTTTTATAAAGGTCTTAAACTAAACATCTATTTTTATATTTTTAAAAGACTGTTAAAAAAATGTGAAAAAGACTTCATGAGGCTCACAAAGCCTAAAATATTTATTTGTACAAAAAAAGTTTGCTAACTCTATCCAACTTGAAATTTAAACTATGATAAAAAATTTGACCTTAAAACCACTCTGAATGGTAAGCAAGGCATGGATACCATCTCACTTTACAAATGAAAAACATAACCTGGGAGGGTAAGTGCATAGCTGACGATCAGGCATTTGACTGATGAGTTGGACACAAGTTCTCTTTCTTCTTCATTATGCTGACAGCAATTTATGCATGTTGGCCTATTAGAATTTATTTAATACTGAATGAAAGTGTGTGAAGTGATAACATCCTTACAGACCATGCAGGCCAATAGTTTCCAATTTTTTTTTCCCTAGGGCTGAAGAATCCTATGAAACCAAATAAAATCTGACAAAAAATCCCACTGTGTAAAACAGATGAAAGCATGCCGGCCAGCCTGAAGCTGGGAGGGATGACTCCTGGAGTCAGACCAGCTCCTTTCTTCCATCCTACAGGTGACAGTAGAAAGCTACTCCATAGAACTCTAGGGAACTAGGTTAGAAAAGCAACTACTTCAGATTTATCTCTTTATTTACCTGCCCCCGACAACCCCATAGAAAAAGAGAGAGGGAATTCAAGAGTGAGAGACAGTAAATCTTACTATTTAAATTCAAAGTAAAATAGCCTATTGTTTGAATTTACGTTTTTATAGACATCTTTGTACCCCAATATAGTAGCGCAAGCTCACAAGAATGACCTAAGAACTTACTGAAAAAGGTATCCATGACACCAACATGGAAGAAAAGGAAAAAAAAAAAAATTACCTACTTCTCATTCATTTCCCATAAAGTTTATGATCTTCATAAATAATTCCCAGTAAATTATCTTATTAGAATCAAGAGCACCACCATTCTTTTTTCTTTTTCCTCTTCAAGAATATAACTAAAATACTTTAAAAACAACCAACCAAAAAACTCTCCTTTTTTCTATTCTCACATCAAACCAGTTACAAACAACAACAAATTCTTATGAACTGTCTCTAGGAATATCTAGTCTTCTGTATTTCCAGTTTCTAGTTTTCTTAAGGGCTATCATACCTCAGTTCTACACTATATAAGCCCAGTAATATAAAATGTCTTCCAGCTTCAATTCATAGGTCTAAAAGTTGAATGGCTAATACAATTCTACATTAAATGAAAACAAAAACAAACTTTGGTTCTGCCATCAGCAAATACCTCTGCTAAAATGTTTTTTTGTTTTTTTTTTTAAATATTTGGGCCAATAAAATCCTTACATCAGATAACAAAAACAATAGATGGTATGAATTATACCTATTTGCTATAGAAACTTTTTTACTTGAATACTTGCATACAAAGAAAATAAAAATGTTTTAGTTGTCATATTATTTATACACTTAATATTCAATTATTACATACGAAGATCATGCTCTAGACGGCTATACTCTGTACAAATAATTTACTTTTATAGCAGACATTCCATTGCCCTGCTATTTCTATTTTTACATCAGTCATACAAAATCACGTTATTGATATAAATTTGGGGGAATTTTACTGAAGCAGAATTTTTTCAATAATGAATAAGCTCTTATCACAACAATTTATTTGTCTGTTTATTTTTGGTGGGAGCTTGCAGGACTTTAAATCAAATTTCAGGTACAATTTCATCAATCTTTTAATACATGAAATTTAAATGCAAATAACACAGTGACTCAATACAGCATTAGATCTCAACCATTCCTTAAAGCCAAGTAATTTTAAATTCAGACAAATCAAAAATTGATCATGTTAAGAAAGCAATCCTCATGAGCAGCAATAAAAAAAGAAAACAAGGACCATGGTGAATGCATGCAAAAGTTGCAGATGTGTTCAGATTTCATTCCAAGCTGCTGATAGGTAGTAGGCAGGACCACTTAGAAGCTTAAAACGAAATAGTTAAGACTTGAACTCCTTAGCTGGCTGTGTTCTTCCTATCCCTAAATCCTAAATTACTGATGAATCATTATATTCAGGGATGTAGCCATAAAATTGTATCTTTGTTATTACTCATTTTTCCTTTTCATCAATGTTTAACCAAATGATAAAAATTAATTTCAGCTCTGGTAATGGCAGAGATGAGGTTCACCAGATTTTAAAGGTGTGACTTCAAATTTTTTAGGTGGTACTGTTGATAAAGTACATTGAACTTAAGTTACTATCTACTAGCAGATGACTAGCACAGCTAAGACATTTTAAAGCCACAGTTATCCCTCACCTCAAGTGAGTCATTCTGACAAACTGTTCTTCATCTATTAAGTCACTTAAAAGTATGTTATTTTAAGATACTTACTTGGCAAATATGTATTTTAAACACAGCAACGACTTGGCAACTATACTATAGAACAGAAATAAGTAATAATCAGGTAAATAATACAAGTTTAGTATCCTTTATCTGAAATGCACGGGGACCAGAAGTGTTTTAGATTTCAGTTCTTTTAAAAAAAATTTTGGAATATTTGCATTATACTTACTGTTTGAACATCCCTAATCTGAAATCCAAAACCCAAAATGTTCTAATGAGTATACTTCCTTTGAGTATCAGGTTCGTGCTCAAAAAGTTTCTGATTTTGGAGACTTTAGTGTTCCACACTTTCAGATTAGGGAATATTCAACCTGTAATGTTAAATACTTAGAAGATGAAGCAAAATGCTTATAACAAATTTAATGCTCTTAAACGTGTAGCATATTGATTTCAATTTTTTGAATTTGAACATTTGAGCTCCACTTTTTTATGATTTTATATGGAAACTCTAATTTCAAATATTTATATAGGAAAACTTACACATATTATAAAACATTTCACACTTCAACATCAGTATTTTTCATTACAAGTCAGAGGTTCAGTATTTAAAAGTATAATAATGTGTTAATATCATCCTCCATTCATATATATTTCCGTTTAGAAGGTATTTTCCCCAACAGTTTCACGGAATTCTTAAGAGAATCTAGGACTCAGAGGGAACTTGTTTAAGGTTATACAGTTGTAAGTGGCAGGCCTGACCCTGGGCATTATCTTCATAAAATTATGACATCTAATATCTTTGAGCAAATAAATAAAAAATGAATGAGTAAATAAGTGAATAAGTGCATATAATTCTAAACCAATAGAATGCTTATGTAAAAGCACTTAATTTTTCTATTAAATTGTATGTTATTATTCTATTTGAGAATGTGTTCTTTATAATAAATACGCAGAATTACTAAATCATTCCTCCTAATTTAACAAATACTTGATGAAGTAAAACTAGTACACTTCTAGGTCAGTCATATTGTTGGTTGCTATACATCTCATACCAGTGTTCAATTCCTAAAAAGCTACTTTTACTTGTATTCATCCTTCAAAATGAATTTAAAAGCTCTAAGAAGCTTTCCCTGAATCCCTTACAGAGATAGTGCCTCTGCTAAGAGTTCTGGTACTTCCCTGTTCATTCTTCTGTTACAGAATCATTAGTGGTTTTAGCAGTTAATAATTTCAAAGAATTAGTTATTAATAATAAAACCAGGGATCAGCACA